AATGTTTGTCATTTTGCAGGGCTGATTGGATTGAGAATATCCATTTATAGTCTTTGATTGAACAGTACATGTCTTGGCTTATAGTTGCTAAATTCATTGATTGAATAGTAGATTGATTATGTACAGTGACCTTCCTCCGGGTTTCCTATTTTGTCCATGGATGAACAGGGGAAGGTCACAAATCCTCCTCTATAAATATGATGATATTGGATAGAGGAGGGGATCCAATTTTTCTCTCATTAAAGTTCACTCTTGAGATAGAGTAAGAAATATAATTCGGACTGAGGAGATTTACCCGGCCTAGGTCATACTTTGTGTTCTTGTTGTGTGTTTTATATTACGGGTCGAGTGTGTCCAGGTCAAACCCGGTTAACCCACCCAGCTATATTTACACCATCATATATATATCATCAATAATTAAGAAGTAGCCATGTGGTATCCAAGTGGACTAATCAAAAGATGAAACCTTTAAAGCGTAGCTTATGTGGCATGACACATGGCACAACCATATTTAATTCGCTCTACTTTATATATAGGATACATCTGATTAGATATTGATACAAAAATAACTTCATTAAGTTTATCTTATAAAGTATTTTTAAAAATAAACTACCATATAATATTTCTTTAATTATAAGTCAAAAAGTAGGTGAGGACAAGATCTCGATCCCGTTGTCCTGATCTGAAATATCCTAGTCCTCGTCCGTATAATATTCCCTTTTATTTGGGATGACAAAATTTTATTTCGATCCCCCCTCCTAACAATTTCACTAAAAAAACATTGGTACTGAATTTTGAGCCAAACATAATGTAAAAGTTTTACGGCGTTTTTATTGCTCTTTGTGAAACTTGAATACTGTGCTGATTCTAAATAAGATAGAAAACAAGTTTTCTTGTTTAGTTGGGAAAAAAATAAAATGGAAGAAATGATATGAGAAGAGAAAATGAAGTGGAGGAAAAACAAATTTCTCCATTTTGTTGAGAGAAATGAGAGGACAATTTTCTCTTTCTTTTCCTTTCTAATTCGTTGGTCAAACATAGATTTAGAAAAGTTTCCATAAAAAATGATCAAACGCATGGTTTCGACAAAACTTTTGTAAAACTAGATCCCCACACGTTCATTTTAGGTTTGCCAATCTTGATTTGCAAAACAACTTTCTTCTCGATATCTAAAACAAGATTGGTACTTGCACGGCAAGGCTTCTCTGGATGACCCCTTTTGCAACAAAAAATAAAAAGTGACCCTGAGCAACAAAGTCCTGCATTTGAGGAATGCGCTCAATTCCCATTATTTAAGCAGTGCTCTTACTGAAACAGCCTTCTTCGCCTTTCCTTTCTTTACTTTTAGTGAGACATTACTGCTAATGGCTTTTAAAGGCTCTGCTGCCGTGTCCACCCTCCTCTTCGCTCCCGATAGATGATGGCATGGAAAAGGCTTAGCCTGTAATGAAGTGCAATCCCTATTTTGTGTCAGTGTTATATATGGAGTACTACATTCAGGGCAAAAGAAACTAAACAAAGTAACTCTCTCATGTAACTTTGAGCTGGAAATACCGATACAATTCCTTCATGTAAAACCCGTCAAAGAAAAATCGCAAAACAAAAAGCATCAACAAGAATGCAATGCTATATACGTGAGATAATGAGATCAAAGTCGCGCTTCAGAAATAACAAGCATTCACTGCCCTTCTATGAATGAGTTCTAAACTCAAGCATTATTAGTTCATCCATTTCTCTCAGCCACCAGCCCACCACTACAAAGCCACCATCAGTTCATATCTCAAAAAATTGTTTATGAAGTATTCAAAGACAAAAATAAAGAAGAAAGGATACACTTCCCAAAGGAAAGTAGAATAGGCATAGGAAGGGTAATGTTGCCTTTTCCTCCCAAGGAATCTGAATCCTGAATAACATGAATTTGAAGATTTAGCAGCACAGCATCATACAAGATAAATGTAGAATGGTGATAAATCGTCTCAAAAAGGTTTTTCGTATTCACATGTGTTATAACAAACGAGATTGAATGAGAAGATCATATATCCAATTACCCAGAAATGAAGCTATTCAGATCCTACGTAATAACTAATACATGCCTACTTGAAATCTTCTGGATGTGAAACTATAAAATATAGAAAAATGCTAGGGTTCCCCCAAATGGTTGCTACCACGGGTGCACCCATGCTTTGGACAAATGATTATCATCTGCGTCGCGCAAATGATCTGTGTCATTTGTGCGAAGCATGGGTGCACCCCTAGTAGCAACCATTTGGGGGCACCCTAGCATGACCCTAAAATATATCCTCACTTGAAAAAATAGTCAACAACAAGCCAAGTGAAATACCACAAATTGGAGTTTTGGGGAGGGTAGGTGTACCATATACATAGACCTTAGTCATGTTTCATAACAGAAAAACTTAATGAGTAAATTCCATAAAGGGTCAATTGTATCTAGAGTTTTTCCACATTTAGCCCACCTCCCAAACTAATATTACTAAGGTCTTAAGTAATTATGAAAACTTCCACAAGAGGTCCTCTGTTTACCATTCCGTTAATTGACCTTTTTTTTTGAAACAACATAATAATGATTAATCATTCAAAAAAGGAACAAGAAAGTCTGGTGGGTTAGACTCTCACACATCAACACAAACCTCAACAAGAAGGTCTGGTGGGTTAATTGACCATTTTATTGAATATTACATTCTAAACGATGGCATGTGCAGATCGTGTTAATTCCATGTTTAGATATTAAAAAAATATAAATGCAAATAAAAGATTTAAACTTATTAAAATTGTATTATTGTACAAATATTTTGTTATTATCCTTTTATTCAAACATTTGTATTATTCTTTTCAACAACAAAAAATATATACTGTCGATATAAATTTCGTATCAAGAATTAAGTATTCACATTGACATTACCACATCCAATTTTTTTAAAAGGGGTGATGCACAAAGTGTCCCCCTAGCGGGGTTCAAGGAAGTGTCCCACCACAAGGATGTATTGTAGGCAAACCTTACCTTGTATTACAACATCCAAATAAAAATATAAATTCTTACTTTATGAAATAGGACATGATAATAATAACAATAATATATTATTGTTAGTAGTAAGTAGTAACAGTTTTCTATTAGAGTTAATATTCTATTTTAGGTAATATTCTTGATGACAATTGCCGAGACTCTTTTTAGTATAAATAAGGGGCTTACATCATTAATAACATCATCGTTGTAGCAATTAAACAATTCTTCATAAGTAGTAGGGGACTATAGGACTCAAGGTTCTTCCTCTTTTAGCCACGGGCAAGAGAGAGGTCTGTCATCTATCTCAAGGATCTCTTCGAATCCCTAATAGCGTAATACCTAACGGAGTATTAGCTTGTGAGTAGACGACGACAACAACAACCCAGTTAAATCCCACGAAGAATAGGGTCTAGGTGCGTGTACACACACTTTGCCTCTACTTAAAACTTAAAAGTACATAGGCTGCTTCCAAGAGACCCAGGCTCAAACTCCACAGATAAAAAAGATCAAAGGAGATGCATAAATCAGAGAAAGCACAGAGAAGCAAAAAAACAAACTAGAATTAAATGAATGAAAAGTGAAGCAATCAGAGAGTACCAAGCCTACAAGGCATAGAAAGCAACAAGTATAGGAAACTACCCCCTAACCCAAGGTGCCGACTTTCCTACTCTAATCCTAGCTCTCCACACACTCTTAGCTTGTGGGGTGGACTAAATATAATGTGGAAAACTCCACTAACAAAGGACCGTTTTGGGACTTCACTCAAACTTGTTTGGCCCAACAAAGCAGTCATGTTTCAAAAAATGATGATAGTTTTTCAGTCAATTTCCCGAAAAAGGAGTTACAAACAAGTTAATTATGAAAGTGTTATTTAAATTGAAGAGTTCAGTAAAATCAACATATAAATTAAAAATTGAATTGTTTGGCTTGTACCTTAACAATATTTAATAGTTTTATGTAATATAAAAAGAAACTAGAAATCTAGACAAAAAAACTCAACTTCAAATAGGATTGGTACAAGTAGTTTCAAAGAAGTAAGAAGCTTATAGTCTAGCACAGAGCTAGGGACGGGTACTCAAACGAGAATAGGAACACGACTAGGAAAACACCACTTTTTTTCTAAACTTTACCAAGAATCTGGCTGTGGAGACGTGTCCATGCACCCAAACAGGAACATTCCTGGGACGAGAAGCGGCACTTACTTGAAGAATTCGTACTTCATAGATTATAGAATAGAAATGGAAGAAAAATTGTTAACAATTGGCCTTCACCCTTGCTGAAGATAGAATTTCCCCCTTAATGAGAAAGGGTTGTAAGAACATGTAACTTAGAGCACAATAAGGAAAAGGAGTGGTATTTAATGCTAATCAGAAGCTTCATCTATCACTTCAATGAAAAAAATAAGCAGTTTAATTCTATTCATCATTTTAAAACAAAACCTATAAACATTCAATCTTTAGAGACCAACTCCTATGTTGGCGAATCCACAATTAATTATGAAGAAGAAACATGCATGCGCATAATGTCACAAGTTGCCAAGCATACCATTAATGTCATGCAAATCTTAGTCACAAACTACACTCCTGGCATTAAAACAAAGAAGCAAAAGTGAACATAAATATGGGAGAGCAACATAGCCATTCTACAATGGCTAATTTTATTGAGTTGCTAAATGGCCAATAATTTATTAACAGGTTTCGTGAATGGAAACTTAATTGTTTTAAGAATGGAAGAAGCAATCATCAATACCCTCAAGCACACGTATCACATCGTACTAAAAACTAAAACTAGAGCAATAGAATTTCCTAAAAACCTACAATCATGATATAAGAGTAATTTGAGAAAATATAATTTCCAGGCATGCCATTAAATGCAATTACTCATACTTTTAACCGAAAAGTGGAAGAGGCTAAATAGGGATTATTAACTAGAACATTTGGACATCACATCTGTATTGAGATACATTATATTTACAGACCACTAGACTAACTTTATTAGCCTTCCTAAATTGAATATTTAATTTTTTAAAAAAATCAACATCTACACAAAATTTCACTCGATTAGCAAACGAAAAAATAAACAAGGCACTCCAGAAAAAGCACAGTGACACAATGCATTACATCATTTATATGTATCGAATTCATGAAAAGAGAACACATCCATTAACAAAATGTACAAGAGAGAACACTAATCGAAGAAATTCAAATGCTAAATTCAATCACACAGTTCATGAATGCTATACTCAAATGTTGACAACCATCATGCTCAAAAACCTAAAGAATCGTATTTACTAACCAGTAATTTGGCATTCTCACCCCTTTGCAGTGCCCATTCTTCCTCCATCCTGATTTCAGCATTGAGGAACCTTGTTCGAGCAATCTCTTCTGCTATAATTTTCTCTCTGATACTTTCCTTTTCAATCTCTCTTAGGAAAGCCTCGCGCATATCCATTGGGTTTCTGAAGTGCCCCCCTGATGGGAGCCCAACATCTGGGAGTGAATGGCCCACTGAAAAAACCATCACAAAATAAAACATTTCAGCAAAATCGAATTTTTGAAAAACCAACAGCATTTCTTTTTAAATTGCAAGGATTAAAAAAGTCAATCATGAAGTTCTTTAGTTTAATGGAAAACTACAATGTATGTCATTTACAGATGAACGGCTCTTGATGTTTTGCTTCCTTTTATAAGAAAACAAATGCCAATTTCTCACTTCCACTGTCGACAAAATCTCTTTTCTTTGTCAATTCCAAAAAAAAACAACAAACAAACAGCAAAAAAAACATACGCACCTGGAAGGACTTCATTGGCGGAGAACGAGATACTTGGAGACCGATAGTGCTGCGAATGCACGAGAGGCGGCGGATTAATCAACCGATAATTGTATGCCATGATATATCAATGGAGATTTTGAAGGGTTTCCGAATGCTTGGAAACAGGGTTTGTGCGTTCTCCGAATTCAAAAGGTATCAATGCTCCCTCCTTGCAGTGAAGTGAACGAAAAATAGTGGATGGGGTCGCCTGTGCAACATTTTGAATTTGGGATTTTTTTTTTAATTCAAAAGGTATCAAAGCTGAAAGCTCCCTCCTCTCCGCAACATTATTGGGATTTTTGGAGGACACGCTACATTTACACCAAAATAAATTTGTATCTCAAACTTATACCAAAAGTATACATCAATATTTTGATGTTTCACATTGACACAAAATGTTGGTGTGTTAACAAAAATTTACACTAATACAAAATGTTGGTTCGTTAACAAAAATTATGATTACACCAACACAAAATGTTGGTGCATATTTGCGGTGTACAAATGAGATACAAAATCCTTGGGGTACAAGTAGCTTTATCCTTTTTTGAATAAGTTTTTGGAAAATGTTATTTGTACATAAAGAATTTGTACCTCATTTTGTACACCGCATGGATGCACCAACATTTTGTGTCAATGTAATGCTAATTTTTGTTAATGCACCAACACTTTGTGTTAGTGTAAATTTTTGTTAACGCACCAACACTTTGTGTCAGCGTGAACCATCAAAATATTGGAGCATACCTTTGATGTACAAATGAGGTACAAATTTTGGGGTACATGTAGCATGCTCCTAAGTTTTTTGAACATGTGGTTATTGGTACCTACTCCCTTTGTCTAAAACTATTACTAGTATTTCTATTTGATTTTTCACAGTTTTCAATGTTGTACCTTAACCATTAATATCTATACTTATACATAGATATATTTTATAAAAAATTGATATGTCAAAGCTATGATTCATTAGAATTATGATGATATTAAATTCATATCATAATACAATATATTTTATCTACAAATTAGAGCATCTTTAATACAAAACTCTTAAAAAGTTACTTAATTCAAACATATTGGTGTGGGGCTCATGTAGAGCACTAGTTACTTCATTTATCAAAGGAGTTGCTTAAGAAGAAATCGTGCCTTATCTATGAACTTCCCCTAAGCAACTCCACTAAAGATGCTCTATTGGTGGTTATAGTGGTGGGTTTAAGTCTAGTTTTAAATCCAAAAGTCTAGTGTGTGTGTGTGTGAGAGTGTATATATATATATATATATACTTCCTCTATTTGTAAATAAATAATCTATGATGTTTGGCTAAAGTTATAATCAATTTAATTTACTTGAGTTGTGACATTAAATTTAAAAATAAGAAGTGATTTGATTTTTTCAACTCATTTAACCAATATTTAAAATATACAGAGTATATAAATAAAACATTTTTATGATATCACTCCATATTAATATCAATTATATAAGTGATTTTTTAATTTTAGCTAAAAGTTAAAACATTAATTTTTTTCAAAGTTATTTGAAAAACAATTTTGTAATTACCAAATATTGAATAGAATATGCATAAATTTTCGAGTAAATTCTATAAAAGGTTCTCAGTTATAGATCGTTTTACATATTTAGTCTCTACATTTCAACTACTACTAATTTAGTCCCCAATTATTATATCATTTTTCACGAATGATCTTTTGTTAACGTTTTTGTTAAAAACATGGATAAAATTGTATATTCATATTTCTCTATCTCCTCAATTTAGTTTCCTCCCTCCTCTCGTACTCTTTCCCAAACTCGTCGCTGAGTTTGAAGCTCTAAACCAAAAACTGAAACGATCACTCCTCTCTCAATTATTAGTCTTCCCGGTGGAACCTAAAATCAAAACCAATAAACTTTATGGATGAATTTTATCGGTTAGTCTCAAAAATTGCAAAGAAAATAAACATTAAAACTCATCCATGAAGGTTACTAGTTTCGAATTTGGGTTCCACCAGTTCTACAAACAATTGAGAGAAGAGTGATGATTTCGGTTTTAGGTTCAAAGCTTCAAACTCAGCGACGGGTTTGGGAAAGGAGTGCGAGGGGAGGGAGGAAGCTTAATTGAGGAGAGAAAAGAGTGTGAATTTACAATTTTATCCACGTTCTTAACGGAAATGTTAACAAAAGACCATTCATGGAAATGAATATAATGATTAGGGACTAAATGTAACACCCTAATCCGTCTAGGTCTGCAGCCCCTTCCGGACTAAAGTATTAGCTTGGTAATTGTAAAATTTAAAACATTTCAAATACTTTTATTCTTCATAAATATTATTTAATACATAACTGTAGCAAAATACGGAGTATTTAACAATAACGCGGAAGCAATTTAAACCATGTTTAATAACAACACAATTATTTATTTTAAAATCACAAATTCCACCACAACAGTCTCGTCCCTTCCGCTGCCAGGAACATGCCAATCATTCATTCTGCCTACCTGCGTGTAGCAAATAAAACACACTACACGCTCAGCGGTGAAGCTGAGTAAGCATATCTAAAGCGTCGAACATCCATATTAATTGAATCTAAATTCACAAACAACCATTTGATATCATGCATACAATATATAATTCATTCATGATATTTTCAATATTTTTATTTCAATATCTCAATATTCATATTCAATATGCAATATTCAACAATATCCTTAAACTATGCTTAGTCTAAGGCTAGTTCCATTCTTAAACTGATTCTAGTTCAAGATATTCTAATCCTTAAGCTAGGCCTAGTTTAAGATATATTTTTTAAAAGTGTTTTCAAATCTTAAACTTACCTTCGCTTAAGGTCAACCAAACACCAACAACGTAGTGTTCACTGTTGGGTTGGGTGGTACCCCCAAACGAGTAGGTACTCAAGTTTGGTTCTTGGATCCCGTACGTACGTTTTAACCCCAGCCACCGGGCATCATACCCGCAAGGCCTATTTCTAACCTATCTTAGAGGTCTTCTAGATAGTATTAGAAACCAACATCAATATGGATATATCTTAGAGTTCTTCTAGATATCCTTAACAACATTATTCATCAATTCATATTCTTAGTTCACCAATCATTTCATCCAGAATATTCATCATCATTAATCCATAATATTCATCAAATGAACAATCAATCAATCATCATAATAACTAATAACAATACGCGGCCTAGCATCGAGTGTTATCACCCTAGCTTACCGTCATGCATCACATAAGATCCCCTTTTAGTTATTAAAACACCATCTTTATTTCAAGAAATCATCCTTTTATTAATCATAATGGTTTGGTATCCAAATATAGGATTCCATAACTCAAAAATCAAGTTTTCTAAATAACAATTGATTAATATATGATAGGAAATTCAATTATTAGCTATTAGCTTCATTTTCTTCAATAGTGTAGGGAGACAGTCTACTGTCACTTCTGATAATCTACTGTCTGATGTTCAGAATGGGCTGATAATCGATTATCACACTCTGATAATCGATTATCAAACTTCAAAGAGGGCTAACAGTCGATTATCACATTCCGACAATCGATTGTTGCTCAGCTTTGTTCCAAAAATCTGCAAAATGATGAATAATCGATTTTCAAGTTGATAATCGATTATCCATCGTCTTCTACCTCGAGCCAATTTGCGGAAATGTCACTTTTACTCACCAAAATTCAATTAAAGTATATAAAAGTGTTCTCCAAGGTTTATAGATCATTTTGGCATCATTAATTCATAGTTTTAACATCAAAATCATAGTTTACGATTCTTAGTTCTTCAAGCATGTCAAACACAAAACCCAACCAAATGACCATCTATGAACGTAGAATCGATCTATATGAACATTCTAGTCATTAGATATATCTACGGGCTTACCTCGAAGCCAAACGAAGGTTTTGGAAATTTTCCGGCGAAACTTCCGGTGGTGATTTCTCCCAAATCTGGCGACTTCACACTATTTTGTCAGCACCACTACATTCCTCACACTCTCAAGAACAAAATGATACTAGACTTATTAAGTTTTAGTGAGGAATGGAGAGATTGATGGTGGTTTATATAGTAAGGTGATTGAGGAAGAAGCCAAGCCAAGCCAAATCCCTGTAGGTTTGCATCATTGATCGTAAAATGGAGGTATTGGAGAAGGAGGCTCAGTCTGTACAACTCTTCCCTGATTGGGACTAATTTGGTCCCAGTCGGGGTACACTTTTTGGTCCAACTTTCTCCAAATTAAATTCCGTTTGTACCGTTGCGACTAGACAGTCAAGCTCTATCCAACGACATAGGTTTTATATTTATTTGTAATACTTTTTCTGACATCATATTTTTAAGTGTTTGACTTTGACAGGGTCCAAATTTATTTAATTGGCCTTTATTCAAAAACGTTCTCTCATTTAATTCATATCATTCATTTTCATGATTTATTTTAATAAATCATTTTAATATTTACATCACAAGTAAATTTCTTAATTTATTCTTGATTTGGGTCTGTACTCTGGTTCCCAATCAAGGTTACACAAATAGTCAACATAGTGGATTCATCTCTATGAGATTTATCCAGATTCAAATATTGGGTATCAAAACAATATTTTATTTTGGCCCAAAGTCAAATAATGATTTATTTTAATCAGAACATATTTGATTAATTGAATAATTATTCGTTAATAATTTTAGGGTATGTTTTGGGGCGTTACACTAAATTAGTAATATTTGATATGTAGGGATTAAATATGTAAAACGGCCTATAACTGGGGACCTTTTATGGAATTTACTCTAAAGTTTCCTATTATAAACAAAGACCATCGTGGCGCAAATGGTCAAAAGTGCATTGCAACTTTCTAGATGTGAGAGGTTGGGTAAAGCTATTTGTACCCCAAGGATTTGTACCCCATTTTATACATTGCAAGAATGCACCAACATTTTGTGTTGGTGTAATGCTAATTTTTGTTAAAGTATCAACACTTTGTGTCAGTGTAAATTTTTGTTAACGCACCAACACTTTGTGTTAGTGTAAACCATCAAACTGTTGGTGCATACATTTGGTGTACAAATGAGGTACAAATTTTGGGGTACATGTAGCATGCTCCTTTTAAAAACTTTCAGAAAAAAATTAAAAAAACCGGTCCACAGGTTTAACGGCCATTTTTCACCGATTTCTACTAGTTAAGTGCAAATTGCCTGAACCGGACCAATTTGGTATCCGGTTCACCGGTTTTCGGTCTGAACCGGTCGGTCTGGTCCGGGTTTTAAAACTATGGTTCTCACCCATCTACATCTTTTGTTTTTTTTTATTTTTTCTAATTTTGCTGTGATTGCATATCTATAAATATATTTTGTTTAATTTAAATAAAAATTAATTAATTTAATTAAATATAGATATTTTTTGATTTATTTTACTTAAATGTGATTATTTTGTTAAAGCTGGTGTTGTAAATTTATTGTTATAGGAATAGATTTAGAAATTCTTATAGATTTTAACTTTTGATGTAGTGCAGATGTGGCGATGTTCAAGTTTTTTTTTGGGTTTACCATTACAAGTTTACAACCAGCCTAAACACGAGGCACTAGAGATATTAGGCCTCAAATAGCCAAAGTACAATAATGATATGTTCAAAAGTATATTCTTGCAACGTTATATTTTTCATGTGCGTGTGAGTGATTAATTAAACCGTTTCAATAATGCAGAATCATTTGGTGAACTATTTATTTGAAATAAAAAAATATGACCTTCTATTATAGTAAAAACTATAATGTGAAAACACAGCCAAAACTTAGGCTGCGTTCTGTTCGCCTGATTTGATCTCATTTGATTTTTTAAAAGTTTGATCTAATCAGATTAGATCTGATCTGATTCGATCTGATCTTGTCTGATATGATCTAGTCTAATCTGATATAAATTTGATTAAAATTAATATTAAATTTAAAATTATTATTATAATAGTTATAATAATAGTAATAGTAATAATAGAAATATTAATACTAATAGTAATAATAATAATAATAACTATAGGTTATTAATGAGGTTAATCACTTCATATTGTTTATTCAAACTGTTAAGGCTTCTAATATTCCAGTAGCGAATCATAGTAAGAAAGGGTATAGTGTCCCTCATATGGGGCTAAACTTAAGTCTTCTTGTGTGAGACCAATGAAATCTGATTACTCTCCTTCCAGGGATCTCCTCTTGGCGACTTTTTTTTTGCTAACTTCAGTAAATCCTTCTTCATTCAGTCCCTCTCAAACTTTTGCCTTTTTAGTTTCATCAATCATTCGAAACTACGAATGTGGATTTCAAATCTATATACGAAATCTAGCGTTAGATGTCCATGTACTCATCTCGATTATTTGACGAATTTAATCAAAACAAATTAATACACAACGAGAGAAGATGGCGGCGGCAATCCAGGCGGAGGCGCGTGGCTGAGCAACGTCGGTCAATTCTTGGAAATCCGGATGGCGGCCTGAGGTAGCGGCGTACTTCCCAAGTCTGTTCGTGGGCTTCGTTCCTGGTCTCCCCTCGCGGTCATTTCCTTATATCGTTTCTCTCTCTCTTTTTCCTTTATTGTGTGCATGTGTTTGTGTTAGGTATGTGTGTGTGTGTGTGTATATATATATATATATATATATATATATATAGATTTTGGTTCTGGTGAGAATGAATCTGGTGCTTTAGATTGTGAGATCTAAGGGTCAGGATTGCATCAAAATTAGATGCACCAAAATGGTTTGAAAATGCATCAAAATCCTTTGAAAATACACTATCTCAAGATCCGAGTGCAGAATGCAATCTGAGCCGCACGATGCATCAGATCCAACGGCTAGATTTTATTCTCATTTCTCTCCACAAGGTGCATTCTCACGGGAACCGGCTCATATATATATATATATATATATATATATATATATATATATATATATATATATATATATATATATATATATATATATATATATATATATATATATATATATAAAATAATGGTGGTTGGAGGTTTGTGAAATCCTTTCTTGGGTGGGGTTTGGGTAGTTTAGTTTATGAAATTACCTATTATTTAATAATATATTATTAAATCTTTATATTTATTTATTGAACTGTAACTTCCATTTTATTCACCACGCTTTACATATATGTCTAAATTTAAAGAACTATATACCGTTAGTCACCATTATACGAGATCTATCCAAAAATATAATTTTTATTTAAAACAGACAACTTTACAAATAATTCATATTTTTGAGTAAATAAATTTTAATATTTATTTTTATTAAAATAACGACTAACTACTAAGCCGGTTTTCGGGTCGTTACACTGTTTGCCCCAGAAGAATGGGAGATTGGGGATTAAAAATCTTGAATTGTGGAACAAGGCAAAGATCATGAGATTAATCTGGAATATTGCTTAAAAGAAAGAGAGCTTATGAGTCAAATGGGTCCATGGGAAATACATAAAGAACAACACCAGATGGGAGTGTTTGATCAAGAATGATTCATGTTTCTATTGGAAGAAATAAACTACAGATAAGGGTCTGTTTTGAAGGATTGGGGAAGAACATGCCATACACCCCAAGGGATGGCTACAAATGGCTTGTAGGACAAAGGCAGGAGCCTAACTGGTCCTGCATGGTTTGGAACAAACTCTCTGATCTATACCCAAGCACAAAATCATCTTATGGCTCCCATGCAAACATAGACTTCAAACAAAGAAAAAGCTCAACAAGTTCATTCCCATGGATATCATTTATGCTCTCTGCAGTAATGGGGAGGAAGATTGCCAACACCTCTTATGTAATTGTCAATATGCTAGCATCATTTACGCAAAAATATATGATTGGTGCAACTACAAATTTGAGGGAGATTCCATTAAAGCTAAGAACGAGAAGACGACGAAGCTTAGGCCTAATAAACGGAGAGGGAAGATAAGGGCTATATTTGCGGCTTGCGTGTATGCTATTTGGAGAGCTAGGAATTGTAGGATTTACAAACAGATTTGCATTCTTGAAGAAGACACTACTAAATGGAATATCTTCCATGTTGATACTTTTCTAAACTCTAAAGGAGTTGTGTGAGGGTGTTTTTTGATTGTTGGGGTTGCTGGTTTAGATGTATGCTTGAAAGCCCAACATGGTAATCGTTGTATACTTTTTTTGAGGTGATTCGGTTAAAAAATAATAATAACTATAATAATAATACTACTAATAATAGAAATAATAATAATAGAAATATTGATAATAAAAGGAATAGTAATAATAGTAATAATATTAATAACTATAATAATAGTAATACTAATACTAATAATAATAATAATAGAAATAATAACAATAATAGAAATAATAATAATAATAACACTAAAAGAAATAAAAATATTATTAACAATGATAATACTAATAATAGTAATAATAATAATAGTAATAGTAATAGTAATAGTAATTATAGTAATAATAATAACAATATAAATAATAATAATAACAGTAACAATAATAATAGTAACAGTAACAATAATAATAGTAATAATAATAATAGTAATAATTATAATAGTAAAAATAATAATTATTAACATTAAAAGTTATAATAAAAATAGTAATAATAATAAGAACAATAGTCATAATAATAACTATAATCATAATATTAATAGTAATAGTAATATAATAGTAATAGTAATACTAACAGTAATACTAATAATACTAGTAATAATAATAGTAATAACAATAATAAAAATAAGAATATTAGTTTTGTTTAGATTTGGTCTGATCTGATCTAATCTGGTTTGGTCGAGTTTAATAATAAGAAGTAATAAGCAGAAAACATAAGTTGAACGGAATGCTGTTTTATGCCATGTTCTCCTCAACCTATTTTTACTTATTATTTATTCTTATTGGAATCAGATCAGATCAGATAAGAAATAGCTTTAAATATAACTACATTCAGATCATATCAAATCAGGCTAGATCAGAATAGAACGTCAGAACTTATTTCAATCAGATAAGAATCATTTAGATCAGGTGAAGAGAACATGACCTTAGTACTCCATTTGTCCCACAATAATGTTCCACATTTCTTTCCATCCATAAAAAGTTTCACTTTATATTTTTAGAAAATTTTTTGTATCTATTATAGAGTATTATTTAAGAAATCAATCCAAATATGAATATAATATAGTAGAACATAACATTTACTCTCAAAATAAGAATTTCATATTTTTATTCACAAAATATGAATTTATATTGTGATATTATAGTGGCATCCACTGTATTTTTTAAGACTATATATTGACATTATTAGCGTTGTACTCATACTTTGAGGATAAAAACATAGAAATTACTCCGTATATTTTGGTACTTTTTTCATGTTTTACACATAGTTTATATTTTTCTCATATTATTTATTTACTCTACACTCCAATACAATCTCACTTTTCTAGTACTCTCTACCTATCATACCTTTCTTCCTGTTTATTATTACGTCTCTCATAAATTATGATGTTTGTATTTATGTTTATATTGATCATTTATTAAAACTTAAAATTTTTGCCACCACTAGTTTGTAGAATTTTTGATGTAATTTTGAATGTGTAAATTGTAATTTGTACTTTCTATTTCTAAACCGATTTTTAAAGATAGTATTTCTTCCGTCCTAAAAATATTACCAGAATTTGATTTTTTTGGTCAAACTGTAAAACATTTCGACTACAAATTGGCGAAAAAATATATTTACAATATAAATTTAGTATAATTGAGTTTATTTTAAAATATAATTCGATGTAATAGTTTTTTATGAAAAACTAATTATTTGAAAATATATTTAATTTGTAGTTTTAATATTATATAATTTGATAAAAAATTCAATTTGTAGTAATCTTTTTCGAACTGAGGTAGTAACAAAGAAATTTATATCATTATCAATTAGTCATTATTCAAGTAAATGTCCATCATTACTGGATATTATTCCTACCATTAGATATTATTAAGTTCTATTTAGTAAATAAAAAAGTTTAAATTTTATATTAAAAAATGACTTATATTTTAGTCTTATATAATGCAAATTTCACAAATTTATGTAGGGCAAATTCTAAACATTATTAAGGGGGGATTTCAATAACTAGAACTGGAGGGGCGCAAATATTAGACAAATGTGGTACAAGTGATATTATCGATAAGAATTCGTCCGCCACAAAAACCCTCCCATTTCCCCTCTTCACTCTACTTTTTACTTCTCCCTCCGTTCTTCTCGCAGCGGCTAGGGTTCTTAGACTTCTTACCCGACTTAGATCCAAGAAATTCAAGGTTTGCCACAGTTTTCTGCTTTATACTTTCCATGATTTCTCTCTCTCCGATATCTGTAACTGATGAAAATTTATCATTTCTCTACTTCTAAGCAACAAATGGTGACTGTTTTTCTTCCCAAGACAAACATGAAATTGGGGAGCTTACAAATACATTTCAACATATTCATGGTTGTTGGTAATGCTTTATGAAAAGTCTTCTTATAATTTTACCTGTTTATTTGCTACAGATGAATGTAGAAAAGCTACAAAAGATGGCTGGTTCAGTCAGGACAGGTGGAAAGGGAACCATGAGGAGGTTGGCTCGTTTATTTTTTGAACATTATTATCGTTTCCTAATGTTCTTATGGTGGTCTATACAATTTCATTTTTAATTTTGCTCAAGTAACTAAAGATTATTTTAGTTTAGTGATATGTACTCTGTATCAGTTATAAAAGTTACGTAGTGACATTTTGACTGTTTTATGAGCTCCCATTAGCTGTGAGATAAAAAAGATATTTGTATACTTTATTTAGTTTAATTCAACGATTTTAAAGATTAATTTAATTTACCCTATGTGTTTTAATTTTCTTTTGCACTTCCATTCACGAGGGAAAGAGTCAATTCTTGCCTTGTTCTAATGTCTTTTCTTGTTTTGATGGTATTCGTGGTTCTATCTTTGATATACACACTCTTACAAAAAATGGAGGTGCATCTTAGAGAAAACAGTTATATTTTGATTTTTCTGTAAGGTCAAGTTTGTGCTACTGTTAATTTGTTTTTTCGTTATGCTTATATGTACTCTCAGAAAGAAGAAGGCAGTTCACAAGGCAAATACAAATGATGACAAACGGCTTCAGAGCACGCTGAAGAGAATAGGTGTGAATGCCATTCCTGCGATTGAGGAGTTAAACATTTTCAAGGAGGATGCAGTAATCCAGTTCCTTAATCCCAAAGGTACTAACAATGCTGTAAATGAACACTGGGTTTCAGTAACAATTCTCCTTTTGTTCACCAACTACTACTCTTACATGTTTTTGTGTATCCAGTTCAAGCCTCAATTGCTGCAAATACCTGGGTTGTCAGTGGTTCTCCTCAAACCAAAAGTAAGCTATTTCTGTGTATAAGCTGATTTATCCTTTTATTTCATTTCCGAGTCACTTACTAGTGCTGGGGAGTGGTGAATATAATTGCTCCATGTAATGCAGTTTTAATCAAAAGTATTTGTAATGCCCTCCTTTACTATTTTCAAGAATGCCGACTTCAAATCTGGCAATTATTGAAGGCTATATTTACTTCACTTAACTCTTTGAATTGACAACCATAATTTGTGCTTTCTACAGAGTTGCAGGATATTCTTCCTCAAATCATTCACCAATTGGGTATGATCTTTTTTTATTATATTCAGTATCCTTGGAGAGTTCTGTATGTGAGGTACTGCTTTAATGCTTTGTAAAAATTTCATGTTTCATAGGTCCTGATAACTTGGAACACTTGAAGAAGTTGGCTGAACAGTTCCAGAACCAGGCATCTGGTGCTGCTGCAGGTTTAGCCGATGGTGCTGCTGTGGCACAAGATGATGATGATGATGTCCCCCAACTTGTGCCTGGTGAAACTTTTGAAGCTGCTGCTGAGGATCACAACTAAAACGTTTCTTAAATTTTGTGCGATCTTTGGGTTTTCAAATCTTTCCAAATCTGTGTTATCCTTAGTTGGATGCTCAATGTGATATCTCTTGTGTCTTGTTAAACATTTGTGCATTTATTAGTGTTTTACCCTTTTCCAATACAGAGTTCTCCTATGTTATACTCAGTATTTATTAAACATCACTGTGAAAATCATGCATGACAGCTTGCCATCCTATTACCTCATTGTCCTTCGAAATGGTTCACAGAATCTCTATTTTGACCTGTGTGTAGACAAAAAGGCTACATGCTCGACATAAAGTTGAGTGGTACAATAATGTGAGAGATCAACAACATATTTATACATAAACATAATATAACACATCATGCTAGGAAATGACTAGTATTTTGGTCTTGTTATCAGCCATGTGGAATAATGAATTTAAGCATGTTTTTTTTCAAAGGAATGAATTTAAGCATGTTAGCACATAATTATACATTTGATGAAGGATGATTTCAAGAGTATGAAACAATAAGAAACGTTATGATGTGCAAGACTATGTCTACCCTAAATTGAGCAATGTTCCCTTGCAATCTCAGGACATCCTCCTGGGTGTTGGGGGGGGGGCAATGATTTAGGTAACAATTTAATCTCAATGGTGAGACTAAGCTGGTGTATTCAATTCAGATTTTTAAAGATTATTATAAATTGTTAAGAACCCAAGGACTCCGTAAATTTAGGGACGTGCATTTAGTTTAGATTTTAAATAATTTTAATACTCCCTCCGTCTTATAATGTTCTTCTCGGTTCTTTTTACGAAGTTTGACCGACTTTATTTTAAATTTAATTTATTTGATTGTAGGTGTAAAATTAAAAATAAAATTTATATATTTAAAAACCACATCAAAAGTTCTACAAAACAAGTGGTGACAAGACTATATTATTTTATCAAATATCTAATGAAAATAGGTAAAGAAAGTGATTAAAGTTTGACCGTATGAATAGTAAGTGGGAAGAGTATTTCAGGACGGAGGGGTAGATTGTTTAAAATCTATAGATTATGTAAGATTCGTATATTGTTTTAAATTTATGCAGATTTAGATAGATTTAATATATTTTATAAGCAAATTTTATAAAATTGTATAACCCAAGTTCAAACAGATATCAAACATAAAAAATTGATCATATTGAAAGAAAAGAAGTAAAACAGAAAACAGAATTGGATTGACGAATTCATGTTCCTCCAAAAAAAGCAGATTGATGGCAAATAGCAACTTAGGGTAAGGGAGACGCCGCCAGACAAATCACCAACTTTTGGACGAACGGCGACGCCGCCAGACAAATCACTACCGACGGCGACCGCGGAAGGTGGAGAAAACTAGGGTTTTAAGGTTCCCAAGGTTGGCTTTGATGGAAGGAAGAGACAATGAAGGAGAATCGGAAGGTGAAGGAGATGATGAAGGAGAATGGGAAGAGCCCTTGAAGGAGCTGATGAAGGAGAATCGAAAGAATCTGTGTGGAGTCGGCAAAATCTTTACTTTTTTTTAGATTCGGGAATTAGATTTCAATTTCTACCCAAAGCCCCAAAATCTATATTTTAAAAAATCTTTTAAAAGTTATCGATCTTTGAATACCATTACATTTAGAAGAATATTTTAAAATTTGAATTAAATACATCTAGATTTTAAATTATTTTTTAAAATCTGAATTGAATACTTACATACTTTTCAAATCCAAAAAACTACTACAAAATTCCGAATGAATATATGTAACCCCCTTTAATTGGTTATTTTAAGTCTACGCAGATTTATATAGATTTTAATGTATTTTATCTGCATGATTTTATAAGATTCTAGTAGATTGTTTATAATCAATGAATTATTTATACGTACATTTGAATTCTTTTAAAATTCATACATTGTTCTAACATTAATTATCATTTATGAAATTGACCAAAAACATTAAAAAAAATATAGTATAATTAAATAAAAATAAATTATTTTTTAGAAAATTATTATTAATATTCTAAAATTTTAAGCACAAAATATGGAACATTGTCATAAACAAAATTTAAAGACAATATGCAAATAAAATTATTAAACAACATAGTCCCTTCTCCCTATCATTTCATCTTCCATTTATTTACGACTAGAAGCAAAACATAATATTTTTTTCTAAAATAACAACAAAGCATAATTAACAAGCAAAGAAGCATATGATGGAAACTGTTTTTTCGGGGCATCGACCCAATGAGCTCGATCGGTACTGAGTCAACACCGCACCAAATAGCGAAATAAAATAAATAAATAGAGCGGATAAAAAGTACTTTTACATGGAAACCCATATCACGAGAAAACCACATGCATTTTTGGACGGTACGATACCATGCCAAGGGATGAAATTTTTAATAAATTGGGGAAAGTTTACATATACATCAGTATAGGAACTTGGAGCAATTAATGGAGCTCTCAAGCTCAAAGCAGAAGAAGATGAATAGTAATAGAGGAAAGGGATTATTCTCGTAGCTTTCCTTCTTCCATAGCCTTCACTTTTAAAGGAGGAAAACCCATCAAATAATGTGTGTGGACTCCTCTCTAATTTGTTGTATAGCATTTGGTGGGAGACAAATGAAGATGCTCAGGTCCCGCTAATATTACAAATATCTTATGTATGAATCAATCTCCTGGAAATGTATTTCCAAGCCCCTTTGAATATTTATACATCACTTCAAATATATTAGTTTATCTATATATTTCTAACTTTGTCTTGAATAATTAATCTGACATATATCTTAGGCCAGACTTAATTGAGCTTCCTTGTACCGTTCAAATAATATTGGATTGGATAAAATCTCAAATCCATCACATGTCCCCCCTAGTTTTAAGTTTGCCTCGGGGAACGAGACAGATTTAGAAATCATATGACTCTATCACTATTCTCGTAAAAGAAAGCTTTTCTCAGCAACTTGGGGGAAAAGGCTTTTCTTTTTTGGAGGGTCTTGTTACCTCATGGGTGAGGACTTAACTTAGTGTCTCGGGGAGCCTGACTTTACTCGGGGCTCGACGCCTCTCGGAAGAGGATTTTTCTTCTTTTTAGTTTTCTTAAATGCCTCAGGAAGAGTACTTTTCTCTGTATTTGGTGCCTCTTGGAAGAAGACTTTTTTCGGGGATTGACGCCTTTTGGAAGAGGACTTTTCTCGGGGTTTGGTTTCTCTTAGAAGAGGACTTGGTGCCTTGTGGAAGAGGACTTTTCTCGGGTCTTGGTGCCTCTTGGAAAAGGATTTTTCTCTGGGCTTGGTGCCTCATGAGAAAGGGCTTTTCTTCTTTTTACTGTTTTTAAGTTCCTTGGAAAGAGGACTTATCTAGGAGCTTGGTGCCTCTTGGAAATGGGTTTTTCTTGTTTTTACTTTTCTTTAGTCTCACGGGAAGAGAACTTTTCTTGGGGCTTGGTGTTTCTTTTGGAAGAGGACTTTTTTTGGGGACGAGTGCCTCTTGAAAGATGACTTTTCTTGGAAGAGGGCTTGGTGCGTTATGGAAGAGAACTTGTCTCGGGACTTGATGCCTCTCAGAAAAGGGGTTTTATCGGGGTTTAGTGCCTCTTGAAAGTGGACTTTTCTCGGGGCTTATTTTTCAATATTTTTTGGGAGCACCTCTAAACCGCAATGTGATATCTATGTGATGGTGGTTGTAATGCCCCGAAACCCGGCCTATCAGAATTAATTAATTAATAATATTTAATTAATTACTGGGACGGACTCAGTGGAAATTATAAATATTCTTTGTTTAACAATAAGGTTTTTACCGTTGTGTAGGATTCGACGGATCGAATCGAACGGTGAAATCAGATTTGGATTTGGAGCCCGTGGACCCGAAAAGTGCGTTTTGGGCCAGGTACGTTAGGTTAATACGTAGCCCAAAACCCCAAAAGTATATATATATTCCTTACACGCCTAAAACCCTTACGCCTCCCATAATATTTACGTAACTCCCTCTCTCTCTCTCTCTCTCTCTCTCTCTCTCGTCTCTCTCTTAGTCGAAGAACAGCAGCGGCGCACGAGAAGGAGAAGGAGAAGGAGAAGAAGAAGGAAAGAACGAAGAAAGAAAGAGGAAGAGTTCGATGCCATCGTACCCCGCTTTTTGGTATTGTTCCGTGGTATTAATCTTCGAATTCGAGGTGAGTACGTGGACACCTAGCGTATGGTTATACTCGTAGGTTTGAATCTTACGTTCGTAAAATCGTTACAGTTGATCTATTTGGACTTTACGTGGAATAAGCCCTATTTCTGTTGTTTATGATTCGAGAAGCATGATTTGATTTACGATTGTTTAAGAGCTTGTTAGATAATGTTTGGTTATCAATTTAGAACCTATTGAAGCCTTATTTTTTTGAAATTAGTATTGTTTGATGGGTAAAAATGGAGCTGGTGCAATTCTGGTGTTCACCGCGACAGACTGTAGGTGGGTACCGTCGACACAATACCTGGATGCCGCCACCTGCCTCATTTTCCTTCGCTCTGTCAGTACATGTCACCAAACGGTACCTAAGTACTGGGTGGACGGTAGGCCCTACCGTCGGGTCGGTAGAGGCTACCATGACAGCCTACCGAAAGGGAGCCTTCCAGTTACACGGTCAGTACCCACGTACCATGGGATCGTACCCTAGAACCGTGGGGTCGGTAACCCTTACCGCCAAGAGTTTCGTGAGGTACCTGAACCGGTCTGAAATCTCTTTTTGCGTCGAGGATCGATTCTGAGACTTTGTGTGTTACATGATGGTAAACATGGGTGTCAATACCCAGTGTTAGGCCGTTGTTTGATCAAGTTGAATATGTTGATTGACTCCTGGTTGACGTATGAATATGTATATCATGATTTGTTAATAAATAAAGGATGAAATACCTAGAATGAACTTTAGAGGCTGACCTGAATGGATTAGTGGCAAGTTATGCCATAAGTTAGTAAGTTAGAGTCATGTGGTACCTGCCGGGTCCAATGGCTGTCGAGGTAAAAACGTGTCATGAGGATCGAAGAACTGTCGTTCCGAAGGGGATAGGAATCTCACCCACCCAATGAGGAACTCCCGAGTTGGTTTGAGCTTGACCTTCGTTCTGAAGGGGAAGGTCATGACTCCCATAGATAAGTCGAATACGGTTAAGCTTTAACTAAGAATAGGTTAAGA